GTAGGGAAAAAGTCATAAAATTTTAAAGGTGGCACCCCTGAAAAGCAAATACCAACAAAAACATGAAAATATTCTTGATTTATAATTGAAATTAGAGGATATAAAACATTAATAGAGATCATAAAGATAGTATTAACATGGAAGAGAATAATAAAATGTGAAAACTTCTGTGATTAATATGACATTTCATTATATAAATCATTAATAACGGTCTTAAAGGAATTTTAATGCACAAATGAACTGAAGTGAATATTACATTACAGGAATAAAATTACTGTTATGAATTACTCTACCCGTTTCAAAAATTAAAGATAAATGAACTCAGACTAGACTATTAAAGTTTTAAATATAAAATCCTTTATCTAAAAATCATGAAAATTATAAAATGTCAAAGCTATATAAATTAGCATAGCTTTTCTTCAGTGGGCTGAAACAGTTTATAGGTAGTAAAATAAATGATTTGTATCTTTGTAACATTAGTCAAATCTTAAAAAGAACAATTTTTCTTACACAAAATTTTAAGATATGCTGAAAGGATTAAAAAGTAAATTCCCTGGTCGCTAGGATACCTCACAATCCTAATTAATTATTAGCATCCAAGTACTAGCTTAAGAAATTCCAACAACAATAACAAAAGCATCATCTAAAATTTTGCATTTGTGATTATATTACCACTGGCTGATCAACCTTCAAAAGTCAGTGAACTGATCTTTTAAAGAAATACTGTCCAGCATACATTAACAACTGCTGCACAAGGAGACTACAATGGGAAAGAAAGTCACAACTGATGTCACCTCTTCAAATTAGTTTCCTCTTGCTAATCTTCAACTTCCTATCCTGGCACAACGCTAATAAAATAAATAAATAAAATAAAGTTTTCTTGCAACCATTTCCAAGATAGGAAATCTTACATTCCTGCCTTAGCCCTGTGGTAGGGAAACACTGAAACTAATCTTGCCAGAAAATTAAACTATGCTGGCAAAAGCATTCTGACAATGTCACTATATCTAACCAAATTCCACGGAAGAAAAATACACTCAATTGCAATTAATAAATGTGAAGGGTACAGCAAAGTAATATAATCATAAAGCTCTCAATTTAGCGGCATTCTCCTACTGAAATCCATTCAACCTGTCATAAAAGATATCATCTCAATAACTTGCAAGGAAGTCAGTTTCAACTAGAGAACCGAGAATCAATGGTTCTAAATTATATTCAAACCTTCACTCAAATCCTATTTTGATAAAAGTTCCTTTAGATACTGGGAAATGCTATTAATTATTTTCATCACAAGAGCAAATTATTCTTTGTAGATGTCACAGAATGCTGAATTCTGAACCAAAACCTTAACATGATTTGCACTGTGAATTGTATCCTGCTCTACCTGCAGTACTCCTTTACATACATTTTACATTTGGACTGTGAAAATAAACATATAAATATTTTCAGTGTTCTACTATATATCCTGCCGTTACTTTTCCTGGGAGTTAGCAGGTTATTGCTACTGATTAGGAGATTATATTTTTTGATTATCTAAAAAAAATAAATTATTTTGTAGAATACCCTGCCATATTTGAACAACTAGATTATAAAGTCTAAATAATTTATCTAAGTAAAGGACTTGGTTTATCACATTGCCCTTGAAATGCTCCCAAAAAACTTAAGCTGGCAAAGGGGAATGATAAGTGTTTCAAAGCTAACGACTAAATAGATATATGCTAACTAAAGTTGAGCATTTTCAAGCCACAATTATCAAAGGGTAGAGATCAACTAAATAAAGGTAATGTATCAAAAACAGGGGCACCTTTTCTAATCTCACACCCAGTGTAGGAATTCCTACTAAAAGCAGGCCTAACAAATATTCAGTAGTCTCCCTCCGAACCCCATACCCCGCTAAATTCCTCCAGGGCAAGAACTGTCTCGGGCAGCAGCACCCTTGGCTGGTCAGCACTCTGTATTAAAGTTTATCATGTCAACCTGAAATCGACCTTCAGGTAGTCTGCCTACTGGGAATAATGTTGCTCTGTGAAGATACACAAAACAGTCCACTTCCCTCTCTACACAGTCACTTTTTAGAAACAGAACGCTCCTCTCAGAGCCAACTTTTTCACCTATTCTTCCTCTGTCTGCTTCCTTATCCCTCTTCTGTCTACCTCCTTCTAACAGCATCAATCCAGAGACTCTCCATTCACAGTCATAGAGATGGAGAGATTGCTTAGACTCACTGTTAGTGTAATACACGCACATTCCTGTTAACGCACAGTAACTTTCCCCATTAAACCCATGCCAACATTATGCATTATTCTATAAGATTGTTTACTGATTTAAAGCTCAGAAGACATGACTAAAAGGCAACGTTTACCTGTATTTGAGCGTCTTCTAATACCAAAGTCCCAACTTGAGGTAATATCGACTGACTGGGCATATACATAGCCCTGAGTCTCACCACTGCTTCCCTGAATTTCTGACCCACTGTCTCCAGGCATTGAAGGAGGATGAATCTTCTCTAGGTCAACATCATGATCAATGAGAACCATCTCACACATTCCTGTGTCATCACTGGTCACATGTGACTGTCGAATATGAGCTAGAATGATAGTTGGATTGTCCAAGAAGGCCATCCTTTCTGTGGGCCAATTTCCTTAAAAGGCTATTTTCTTCTCTTCATATTGTTTCACAGGCTCACCTACCTAGAAACACGATGTACATAGCAACATTTAAGAATAAGGCAGAAAATGACTGAATAATTGTTCAAACAAATTCAATGTGGTAAAATGCTACCTTGAAAACCAACATTTGTCCCTGTAGCTAGGAGCTTAAAAGGATTAAGTCCAAGCTGAAAGGAAATCCTTATAAGCTCTAGGGGCTACCACTCTAGTCAAGGAGATCTCCATGGTATCAGAGAAGATGGCTTACTCTTTTACAAAACAAGTAACAGTAACTCCTTAGGCCATTCAAAGTACATAACCACTGTTAAAACAATAAATTTTCCTTTCTTTCTTCCTTCATTCCCATGCAGTCTTCTCATTACTTTATAAGGTCATGGGCGAACAAGCTGTATTTTCCTCAAATGATGCGCTAAAGTATGAAACTGTATTTCAGTTTACATTCCCCCCTCCTGCCATATGGTTGTGAAATGTCTAAAAGGGCACAGACAATGCTTTCTGAGTTACCAGGAATTTTACAAAAATGGACCACCAAAGTAATTTTGTTCAATAAATACATTTTCCTTCCTTCTGATTTAAGATAGTATTGTACTTTTAAAATAAAACTTATTAATCAAACTTCTCGGCTACCAGATTAATTTCTTATTTTAGAAACCTAATTATAAGAACTGCTTCCTGAATCCTGTTAAAACTGTAACAATGTTTATTCTGGGAACAAAACGGTACCTCCTCAGTTAAATGGGAATACTCAACAAAGAAAATATTACAGAATAGTAGTTAGGAAGCTAAGGGCCTATAGGCAGAACTGGGTTCAAATCCTGGCCCTATCACTCGCTAGCTATGTGATCTTGGTCAAAATAACTTTAACCTCAGTGAGCCTGTTTTCTTTCTTCATTTGTGAAATGGGGATTGCAGGGAAGAAAGGATATATAGAAGATTAGGTAGGTAAAATGCTCAAAAGAACAGCTGGTACATAATTTAAAATTAGCTGTTATTAGTAATAATGATGATGCTGATGGTAAAAATATCATTACCAACTTCAGTTTTCAATTCTTCTTTAAAATAATCCTAAAATATATCAACAATTTATCCTTCTATCGTTAAGTTCACAGCAGGTAAAGTAAGTGCCTGCTTCCTTTGTAACAGAGGACTCTGCAGGTCATCTGGGTCATCTCCCTGCTCCTCTAAAACCATTATGAAGTGCAAGGAATGTGAACGGTAGACTGAATATGTTCCTAGGAACAGTCCTAGAAGATATTTATTTTTAGAAAGACCTAGAACACCAGATTTTCTTGTCATTTGTTTCTTCTAGAAATGGAACATAGGGGGAAATCTAGTTAAAAAATCATTATAGCTAACTGAAGTTTTGAAATTTTTTGTCTGGCAACATATCCTTCTATTAACCTCACCTGGTGGATCTTAAAGATACTGAGATTAAGGGTAAGTTAGACTAAGGAGCATCTCTGATCAAGTGAATTACATTAATTTTCACTTTTTCCCTTAAATATTCACTAAGTACTTATTTTACACTGAAGCTAATAGGAAATGCAAAGGTGAGTAAGGTATGCCTGAGTCAAAAAGTTTATACCCTAATATAGACTTAGTATATTTCCTAATATCATGGGATTCTTCTAAATGTCAAATATCTGAGACATTTAGTCGCAGAAACATTAATGTCAGCCAACCACTTCAAGTGTATTAATCAGAAAAAAATTACAGAAATAAAGGGAAGCATTTAAGTTTCACTTGTAAAAATAAATTCTTATATAACCACAAAGACATATACAACCATAGATTTAGTTATGACAGTATTTGTTTTGTAACAGAACCATGGAATCACAGATCAACAGATCTACAAACATCTTTATAGCAATCACGACAAGCATCTTCCCCATGAAAGTGAGGCAACTAGGCACCTGCATAGGGGCAGGTGTTTTCAACTTCATATTGATTCATTCTCCCCTGCAAAAACAAGGGCTTTCAGTGAGAAGCCACATATTTAATGGGTGTTCTGGCACCAAAAAGTCAAAGGACAAAGCGGCAAAACTATACTGGGGTACCTTCAACAGAATACTTTTCAGGAAAATGAACCTGTTTCATCACCTTATGAAGAAAAGTTATGGGCAAACACTTCTGAAGGCACATACCAACTCCCTAACTATCCTAACAGAACAGAGGCCCCCAAAACACCCTAACATGAGCAGGTATCTTCTCTATTAGTACACTATGACTTCATACAGTGAGGAATCTGTATGAATCACTCAACAAATATTTATTCAGTTCCAGTTCTGACAGGGAACTCCCACAGGACTGCCCTGGGAAACATGTTTTCCACCTCCTATGATGTACTTGAGGATTCAGACTGTAAGTTCCGCAAGGACAGGGGCCATAATACCATATCCTTTCTGGCAACAAAGAATCTTACACACAGCTGGAATTCAATAAATGTTGCTGTCTGACTTCCAAGGACTACACAATTTTGTTTCAGAGATAAGTCACATATGAGCATGTCGTATGTAAGTGTGATTATAAAGAAAGAATTGCTTTTTAAAAAAATTAATACAGGTACAAGAGCTTCTCTACAATGTGCGCTTCAAAACTGTCACCCTTCAAAATTGTCACTATCAACTTATTCCAAAACTACTTTTCACAACCAAAAGAATACGTTTTAATCACCTGGACAGCAGCAAATTATCATTTGAAGGTAGATTTGATTTCTAAAACAAAATATTCCAAACACAGACAAAAAAGCAAATTATTTTCTCTGATCAGTTGTGCAAAGGTCAAAGATCTTTAAAACCAAATGCTGGCAGGGGTTCAGAGAAATGGGCACTCTCGTGTACTATAAGAGGGAATGAAAATTGGGACTTTTTAGAGGGTAATTTGGTAGTATATATCAAAGTGTAAAACATGAATACCCTTTGGACAACCCCACTTCTAGGATCTGCTCTAAGGAAATAACTGCAAAAATATTTAACTCAGGATTGTAATACTGAAGATCTGAAAGTAACCTAAATATCCATCAACACTGCATATGCCAGGAAATATACATACAACAGAATACTACACAGTAATTAAAAATACTTGGTAGGGCTTCCCTGGTGGCGCAGTGGTTGAGAGTCCGACTGCCGATGCAGGGGACACGGGTTCGTGCCCCGGTCTGGCAAGATCCCACATGCCGCGGAGCGGCTGGGCCCGTGAGCCATGGCTGCTGAGCCTGCGCGTTCGGAGCCTGTGCTCCACAACGGGAGAGGCCACGGCAGTGACAGGCCTGCGTACATCAAAAAAAAAAAAAAAAACTTGGTAAAGAATGGATAAACAAAATGTGGTAAACACATACAATGGAAAGTTATTGAGCCTTAAAAAGCAAGAAAATTCTAAGACATGCTACAACATGGATGAACCGTAAGGACATTACGCTAAATGAAATAAGCTAGTCAGAAAAGGACAAATGCTTCATGACTCCACTTATATGAGGTACCTAAAGCAGTCAGATTCATAGAGACAGAAAGTAGAATAGTCTTTGCCAGGGGCTGGGGGGAGGGGAGAATTGGGAAGTAAGTGTTTAATAGGTATGTGTCAGTTTGGGAAGATGGAAAAGTTCTAGAGATGAATGGTATTAATGGCACATCAATGTGAATGTGCTTAATGCCACTGAATTGTATACTTAAAAATGGTTAGGGGGCTTCCCTGGTGGCACAGTGGTTGAGTGTCCGCCTGCCGATGCAGGAGACGCGGGTTCGTGCCCCGGTCCGGGAAGATCCCACATGCTGCAGAGCGGCTGGGCCCATGAGCCATGGCCGCTGCACGGGTTCGTGCCCCGGTCCGGAAAAATCCCACATGCCGCGGAGCAGCTGGGCCCGTGAGCCATGGCCGCTGAGCCTACGTGTCCGGAGCCTGCGCTCCGCAATGGGAGAGGCCACAAGAGTGAGAGGCCCGCGTACCACAAAAAAAAAAAAAAGGTTAAAATGGTAAATTTTATGTTGTACATACTTTACCACAATTTTTAAATGTCTGTTAAATGCCAGATTAAACAAATTTAAATAGGCTTTTTTCTTGCTGTTTAATTACAGCACTTCTCAAAGTTTTTAAACTACTAATGTATTATATATTGTGAATCTCCAAGAGGGGGTAATCTAGTAACGTAATATATTCCAAATTCCAAACTTATTTGATCCCTAAACATTTTTTCCTCTAGAAACACTAAAACATATCAATGTATAACTGAGTTTCACAGACATGGTTTAGAGATTCTGCTCTTCACTTTTACAAATGGCCTTGAATGCCTTCCCTGAACATCACCAATTCTTGACTCTCCGAGATAGTCAATGCTTTTTAATATATATCATTAAGCTATCAGATAAACAATAATTAGATTGTTAGTAGATGTCCTACTTTTCAGATTTTCCCACTTTCTAACTCCAGGTTCCTCAAAGCATAAAGATTTGTTTTACTAAAAATGGAAGCAGGTATTTCCCTGGTAGTGCAGTGGTTGAGAATCTGCCTGCCAATGCAGGGGACACAGGTTCGAGCCCTGGTCCAGGAAGATCCCACATGCCACGGAGCAACTAAGCCTGTGCGCCACAACTACTGAGCCTGTGCTCTAGAGCCCGTGAGCCACAACTACTGAGCCCGCATGCCACAACTCCTGAAGCCCACACGCCTAGAGTCTATGCTCCACAACAAAAGAAGCCACCGCAATGAGAAGCCCCCGCTCGCTGCAACTAGAGAAAGCTTCGTGGCAACGAAGACCCAACACAGCCAGAAAAAAAAAAAGGAAGCAAAAGGGACAACCACAGAGAGTGAGTGGGAGGATAGTAAGAGATGTCCCAAAATGACATGGCCATTTTTAATGTACTGGATGGTCTCCTTTCATACTTCATTCATTCAACAAATATTTATTAAGTTCCTACTGTATGCTAAGTGTGGTTCCAGGTGCAACTTGGATGCTATTACCACTTCACATAACCATTTGATTTGTGTTCACTAATGATCATGTAACCTGCCTGTGGTAACTTGAAGCA